CACACACACACACAGAGACAATGTGTCATTTACAGGCATACTTTTACTTCTTCATTTCCACATGGAATGTCTTTTATTTATTTTCTTATGTGGTTACCTTAGCTGGAATGTTTAGTTCAATGTTGAAATGGAATGAAAGTAAACATTCTTGTCCTGTTTCTAGTCTTCTATCTTTTGAAGAGAAGATTTGAGATGACCATTGTTAATACACTGAAGATTCTCTTCTGAAAGCCACAGTTTGGCATCTTCTTTTACTAACCTAGATTCTACGGAGAAACACTTACGTTGCACGAATCCTAAATGGTCTTATAATAAAAACCTGGAGCCAGATATTGGGGTAAATGCTGAAGGATCAGAGAGACAAAGGGACAAGCCATAGTCACTTCTCACCTCGCCAACTCCACGAATCTTCTGACTGAATGCCCCTGAGTCCTCAGCTGAAAGGGGCTCAATTCCTGTCTCCTCATGCCTTATATGCCTTTCTCCACCCAGTCATTTCACTCCCTGTCTCAACCTTCCTAGTGCTGGGATTAATGGCGTGTGTGCTTCCCAAATACTGGGGTTAAAGGTTATGTGTCACCACTGCCTGGCTCTGTTTCTCTCCTAGACTGGATCAATCTCATGTAGCCCAGTGTAGTCTTGAACTCACAGAGATTCAGATGGATCTCTGCCTCCTGAGTGCTAGGATTAAAGATGTGTGCCACCATTACCTGACCTCTATGTTTACCTCTGTGTTTGGCTCTGTCCTCTGATCTTCAGGCAAGATTTATTTCTTAGATTACAAATATATCACCACAGATTTATATACTAGAAAACACCAGATCCACTTCTAAGTCTTTCAGATTGTACATTTGGTCTTTCCAAGACCCACATATAAGCAGATCCTTCTGAACCCCTACTGGATGAAAGGAAGTCTTCATCTATTGAGACTCAATGTGAGGACTCCCAATGTCAGTGGTCTTCCCCCTTGGCAACCTATTGAAATTACATGAGGAACATTTTCAAATTATACATTATAATTGGTACTGAGTCAGGATATTGTTGTTTTTAAATATTCCTAGGTCATTGGAGTCTACTGTCTAGCTAAGAAAAGTGGTAGTCCAAAAGCCCAGATCAAGAGGTAATGGTGATTCCTGAGTTCAGTCAAGATTTCCAAAAGTAGCAACTCATATTGATGCAAAAAATAAAGGTTATGATTGCTTAAATTACTCTGAAACTAGTCGCTGTAAAGCAAACATCAACAATGCTTATGGAGTCTGAGGTTCAAGCATAGCTTGGGGTAATATCTTTCTCTGTACCATTATGATGGAAGTTGAAGTTGGGGACGACCTGGTGTTTCACTCACTGATAGATGTTGTTGATTCTGGTTATCTGTTGGTATGCTCCCTAAGGCTGTTGGCTAAGCCACCTCTATGGAGTCTCCATATGGATTCGAGTTTTTTCCACAATGTAGTATTTTGGTTCTAAAGGCAAGAATCCCAACAAGTCAGAAGATATATTACCCTCTAGTATTTAGCTTGGAGAGTCAGTTATGTGGCATTTTTTTTGGCGGGGGTTATTATACTCATTAGAAGCAAGTAGGTAATGTGGACCATAGTCAGATGAGAAGGGTTAGACTCCATCATTTGTATGGACACGTTGGAATTGTAATTAAACCCCTGCCCAGTGCTTTAGAAGAAGTGATATGATAGCAGAAATTGAGTACTTATCTGTCAAAATCCCTTCTAAATGCTTCACAGTCCTCTCACAACCTATGCCAGCTGCTATTATAAATTCTATGCTATAGACAGGAAAATTTAAAATTAATATCTGTGTAAAGCACAATGTACTAGGAACTCCTTACTAGTCATGAAATTAAAACCTAGGCTTCCTAGCTCCTGAACTATTTTCTCACTCACTAATATACTAGAATGGAGGAGACATGGGTTCCAATCCAGAGTACTAATGTGGACAGCAGCCCACCATGTTCCAAGTGTTTTCCATGCCTAAAGCCCCATTAGAGAGTAATGCCAGCTCCCTTTATCCCACCTCCCCTCCTGGTTGCCAGGATGGCTACCTCCCTGAACACCTCCAGCCTCTGAAATCACCCTGAGGTCACGCACCAGAGCTCTGAGACCCAGTGCAGGCTTGCTGTGTGAACATCAGACCCTCGTTTCCAGAAAAAGACTCCAAAGAAGTAAGGCAGAAGGAAAGAGACACAAAAACTAAAGGAGGGACCCGATTCTGGAAACAGAAGTCCCTTTAAGAGGGATTTTTTTTTTTAAACTGAGAGAAGGGAAATAGAGAGATAAGAGTTTATATAAATAGGAGTGAAGGCAGGGAGGATAAAGGCCAGAGAAGAGAGATCGTAGGAGTTTGGGTCAGTTTGGGGGCAGGTTGACTACATGTGCTTCTAGGGACCACAAGTGTTTATTTAGCTCTTGGTGAGGTTTATCCATGCTGCCACTGGCATGCTCAACCCCATGTGCCCTTTAAATACTGTCTCATTATGTGAAGCAGCCATAGCTTCCTCTCTGCTCCATGTGACTTCAATACCCCTCTCACCAATTTTACCACTAACGAGTCCTGTGGTCTTTGATGGGTCGCCTTATTTCATTAGGAAGAATTTCAGATCTTTTGATGTCCAAGTTCACTTCTGGCTCCATTGTTTATTGTTTTAAACCTTAGCATGAGGGGTTTGGTCACAGGAAATTTCCCCACATTCTTTATTAACAGCCCACCTCTCCAACCACAGTGATTTACAGTGGAGACTTTTGTCTCCTGGAGAGTCCAACTGCTGCGTCAGCAGGCAAATGAGCTAGGTGGCATCCTGACATCTACCATGCAGGCTTGCCCAAGCTCAGGCTGTGCTTTCTGTGGAGACAGCTGGAGACCATGGGCCAGCTCTGTCTTCTCCCATTTCTCAAGAAGTCTTGTTTTCTAGAGAGATGAAAATAAACCATGGGAAGCTGTAAACACATGGGGGGAACTGAGGTGAACCTGGAAAGGTCAGTTTGGGTGTGGTCAGGAGTGGCAGCAATACTCACTGTTCAGGAAAGGAAGCCAGAGGTGAGAGTTTCACAGATTCTGCATAGAATTCTGTCTCATCCAAGCAGGAATTACAGTAGAACAGATCATCACTTACATTTCAGAGACATGGGAGGGTTGCCGACATAGAATGGAAGACCCACAGAGGCCTAAGGTCTGTGTGCTCAGGACCTCTGCCCACAGAATTTCCATCTTCCCATTCCTTATAAAATCCTATGAGGTTTTTTGTTTTGTTTTGTTTTGTTTTGTTTGTTTGTTTGTTTTGTCTCATTTTTCAAGACAGGATTTTTCCATGTATCTCTGGCTGTCCTAGAACTCTCTCTGTAGATCAGGCCAGCCTTGAACTCTCAGAGATCCGCCTGCCTTTGCCTCCCAAGTGCTGAGATTAAAGGACTGTGCCGCCACCGCCAAGCTATGAGTTTGGTTTATTTAAAGGAAGCCATAGGCAGAACTCGAGACAAAACATTTGGAGACCCGAGAGCAGTTCTGTTTCTGAGACCAACTTGTTTTAGGACTATGAGTATAACCTTACAGGTCTGCTTATGCCACTAGAGTCCTGAGTCAGTTAATGTAGACACTGGACTCTGTTATCACAGCGTCTCAGTCCCCCACCCTAAGCCAGAAATTTAGAGAGGGGTCCAGATTAACTCTTTCAGGCCCCCAGTGAGCAGTTTTCTGTATCACAAGTGTATTAAACTAAATAGCATCTTTGAATTATGCTTGGAGAGTGCAGGACCAGAAAGGCATTGAATGGTATGAATGGTACCCTGGAGACCTGAAAGAGTTAATGGGTCTGCTTGGGGTAGGGTTGACTGGATGCTAAGACATAAGACAAGACTTGGAAAGCGAGACCTACAATATCTTTACCTTGGGAATACCTTAAGTGATCCATTAGTGCACACAGAGATACACAGACACATACACACTGAGACACACACAGACACATATATACATGGAGATACACAGATTCCCTTCATACACACACACACACACACACACACACACACACACACACACACACACATATATATATATATAAACAAAAATACAACCATGTGGACAGACACACACACACACACACACACATATATATATATATATATATAAACAAAAATACAACCATGTGGACAGACACACACACACACACACACACA